GTGCTCTGATTAATAAGACGGGGCTCCGTTCAAAAAGCTATGTAGACTGAACATTTGGAACAGTTGGCGGATAAACGGGCAGCCAATAAAAATGCAGGAGAACGACCAAAAGACTAACAGGCGTTTCAACGTTTTTACGTATTGTATTTATTATCATATTATTTTAGATTGTTTTCTAAATTATTTTTAAAAAAGGAAATGGTGATTAGGAGGTCGTCTACTTCAAATTACCTGTGGTCTAACCTACCGTTCTGGAGTTAGTTTAGTATAGTCCGCGGCGCGAAGCACCGCGTACACCTTCATCTTACATGTGCAACAACCTACATGAAGCCTTGGATGTGTTTTATACATCTTTTAGAAACCTCTTCACAACAACAAAAACACATTAAAACGCCCGGCAGTATATTGGACGGTCATGCCGCACGTTTATTGGTTAAAATTATCCGCCGATTTTGTGCAAATAGGGTCTCTCGGAAGTCTAGCCACTATGCGTAGTGAATTCCGTCAAAAGTAGCTTATTTAGTCCCCCTCATATGTCTCTAGTCCCGGCATTTTGACCTATGAAAACGGTGGTCATAGGGTTTTGGGGGTGAAGAAATAGGAAAGGCAGACAAGGAAATTTTTAGAAGTAAGTGTCAAGTGAAAAAAATGTAGTCGAAGTTGTTTCCCGCGGCCGCTGCGATTAAGTTGTTCCGCCTGTAAATTGAAGGTGTGCGCGGCGCTTCACGCCGCGGACTATACTAATCTAACACCAGAACGGTAAGTTGGACCTCAGGTAAGTTGAAGTTGACGGCCTGCTAACCACCATTTCATGTTTTTTGAGAATTTCAAGAAACCTGCAATTTGATAATCAGGTTTTTCCGCACTACATTAAACGCCAATACAGATTAGGAAAATCTACAGATATAAATCAACAATACTTCTAAATACAGTAAAATTAAAATGCATTTAGCAGTTCTTAAAGTATATTCCACTGCCTGCCCTAATTCCCCACGCATAAAACCCTATAACCACCATTTTCGTAGGACAACATGCTGAAAGTAGGGATTAATGAGGGGACTATATAAGATACTGTTACCTTAATTCCCAATCACACAACTGACAGTAAAAAAGTGTTCATTCCTCGGCTTAACTTTCTTCTAAAATTACGTATCCTTAAAAATAAATTTTGTTATAGCCACCACCTGTGTGATTAAGAGTCATCTTGCGATGGCTGCTGCAATACCCTTGTACTCATGCACTCGCAGACATATGGGGTCCGACTGCGGAGCGAGCCAATTTTTTGACGGGTTCAAATGGTTCACAAGTCTAAAAATTTCACCACCAATTGTCACGAAAATGTGTTGGGGGAAAACGTGTT